TGAAAGCTGCTTTTGAATATAAAACACACACACACACACATATACATATATATATGTATATGTGTGTGTGTGTGTGTGTGACCAATATTTAGATTTTTTTGCACCCTCAGATTCCAGATTTTCAAATAGTTATATCTCAAGCCAAATATTGTCTGATCCTAACAAACCATACATCAATGGAAAGCTTATTTATTCAGCTTTCAGATGATGCATAAATCTCAGTTTCGCAAAAAATGACCCTTATGACTGGTTTTGTGGTCCAGGGTCACATATATTATATATATATATTTCTTTCCACTTTATTTTCTATATTAGTAACACAGTTAGTTAAATACATTAGTTAACATTAAATTAATTTAAATACTTTTAAATTTAAAATAAAATTGTAATTTAATGTTAATTCTTAATTTTAGTTCTTTAATTTAATTTTAATTCTTTAAAATAAATTTAAATACTTTTACTTTTATAATTAATATTAAAACAATTTAAATACTTATAAAGCATCTATTAATCTTAGTTAATGTTAATTTCAGCTAATACGTTATTAATTTAAATGAATACATTATTCAAATTAAAAGTTGTACCTGTTATATAATTTATTGTACCGGTATTTGAATGTGTGTGTGTGTGTGTGTGTATATATATATACATACATATACATACATTTTTATTATGTAAAATACATAATGATAATTTTACAATTTTATAATCTTATATATATATATATATATAATTTTTCTATTTGATATACGTGCCAAATTGAGCTTCAGTAGATCGGCCCAATATTGAGATTGTTATTTAGTGTCTGGATGCCAGTGAGATGTTACCGTCAGGCTACTGTAGTAGATAATTTCAGGAATGTGAAGTTATTACAGTAGAAGACTGAGTTTCATTCTTTGTGTGTGGCTTACTTTAATCATGGGAGGTTATCTGAGGAAATCTATCCGGGGGTTTTGTCTCTCCAGTGTTGGATGGGCTCCCTTCGCCTGCGGGCTGGAAATAAACCAACAGCTCTCAGAACAAGGGATCAAGCTGAATGAACAAACATCCATTTATGTAGATGATAGAGGGATGATTGTTTAGTGCGATCGAATGAACCGTCGAGTGATTAAGTGAAAGGAAAGAAAGAGATGATGAGGAGGGGCGTCTAATTATGATCTCAATGCATTTCTTATACCTTTATCTCACCAACCGCCTTTAATGTCTGTTTAAATGAATAATTCACTCAAATATGTTTTCACAATGTATTTTTCTGTTCATTGTGAGTATGTCGGGCTTGAAAAAGGACAAAAAAGCACTAAAGAAATGCCTATGTACCATATTTGAGTTCAGAAGACATATGAACTACATTTAGGGTAGTTTTATGTAATTTTTAGTGCTTGACAGCCTCTGGTCACTGTCTGCTTTCATTGTACAGTAGAACAGTGTGAACTCCATTCATTTTCTCCATAGGGAAATATATTTTTAACAATACGTTATAAACCGTTAAAGACAGACCTACTGTGATCTCAGAGTTTGTTAATCAATGGTAGATGCTTTTGTTGAAGCTATCAGTTCGCATTATTTCAACTTATTTTTTAAATAACTATTTAACAGAGGTATTCCTGGTTAAAAACTACATTACCCATAATTCTGCAGTGAAATCTCCACCAATCAGAGAATCGCGAGAAGAAAATTGCGCCAAAAGAACTCCTGTATGAAGCACTATGAATTCTCCCTACTTTATCAAGCTACTTAAATATAAGTATATAAATTCATTTTTGCAATATATTTATAAGATATTGTTTCTGTATATGTAATCAACATCTTTGAATCAATAGTTTTATATTTCTCTATAGTTTTTAATTCCATTATGTCATTCGCAATGCTTCATGGGATTGTAGTTCTTTCCCTTATTAAAGCCGTTAAGTTCACAGTCTTGTATCTTTGTCTTTTAGTCTGCTTTCAAATCAACATTTTTAATCGGATTCTCTTCGTAGCTGGTTGGTTTGGTTCAACTCTTTAACAAACACCTTTTAAAATACCTATGGGGAAGAAAATTAATGAGGAAAAATACTTCTAGAACCAATGCCACTGAAAAGGTAGACAGCACTAATGTAATTCTTTTTTTCCAGCTGAACTATTTTTATACTAATTTTAATTTTTTTAGCTATATTGGCTTCTATCTTGTCAGTTTTCTGTTATTCCAAATACATACATATACACATATCAGCTATCATGAGCTTTTACCCCACAACAAACACAACGATTGCCCCGCCTCTTCCTGCTCCATCCGGCCAATCAGCTGAAAGCAGACAGGTAGCACTGACTCTCTCTCTCTCTCTCACATACACACACACACACTTCTGTAAGTCGCATTACACTCCGCACACATCTGAACCCTCTCATTAACACAGCAGATGAGACTAAACTCACACTTAACAAGTTTCTCAAGATTGTTGATGGTGTGTGTGTGTGTGTGTGTACCTTTTTATCTGTCGATTATAGAGGAAACTAAATGTCACTCGCAGCATGTAGTTACTGTAACATCATGAATTGGTGATTTGCATATCTGTGTTTTGTTGAGCATCATATTCGATACATCAGGCTTTTATGGCTCATATAGTCTGATATAGTGAGAATATAGGGAAGAAACACCTAAATTTAATTCAGAGGCCCAAACTGAGCAAAAATATGCATTTTGGTGCAGATGCTGTTATAAATCAATGAGATCTTTATAACAGTATAACATATACTTTCCTTAAAATGATCTAAATATCAGTGGTCAATCTATATCTCCAATAATATGTCTCAGTAAGATGAGATTAAAATGATACTAACAAATAATGCAATGCTGATTGAGAGCTGAAGAAATAAAGGCTCCTCAGAAGATGTGAGATGTTCTGGAGGCTTGTGAAGATCATTCCTCCGCTGAGGAACAGTGAAAGTAAAGCTTCTGGAAACAAACACTCCTCAAAAGATCCTGAGGATCAGATTTGAGACTCTAAAAAATGATTGATGGAGAATCAAGTAAAGCTATATTATTCTGACGTTTACTTGCTAAAAATCAGTAAAGATTTGACAGCAAAAAGACATGTGAAGCACAAACTGTACAACTAAACTAAAAGACTAACTTCCCTAACTTTAGACTATTTTTAAAAGAAAATAGTCTAAACTATCAATCAGACGACAGAAGGCATGGAGTAGATTGTGTGCAACAGGCTTATTATCAAAGTTGTAATCATGTTGATACATTAGAGTAGGTTTTACTATGCAAACCTCATCACCATGTTGCAAGGATTTTGTGTGCACTTTCTGTTGCATTCTGGGTCATTTATTATAGTCTTTTGTTTAAAGAGTTTCCTTCAGTGTGGCGTGTGTGTGTGTGTGTGTGTGTGTGTGTGTGTGTGTGTGTGTGTAGCTAGCAGGCTAATGACGGGTCAGTGATTGTACTTCCTGTCTCTGGAGAGTCCGTCTGCAGCCATGAAGCTGTTATTAAACTTTTACCACACAGCACAGTCTGTGTCCAGAATTACAGTCAAAGCATTACCTTTTTATCTGTCGATTATAGAGGAAACTAAATGTCACTCGCAGCATGTAGTTACTGTAACATCATGAATTGGTGATTTGCATATCTGTGTTTTGTTGAGCATCATATTCCAAAAGATCCTGAGGATCAGATTTGAGACTCTAAAAAATGATTGATGGAGAATCAAGTAAAGCTATATTATTCTGACGTTTACTTGCTAAAAATCAGTAAAGATTTGACAGCAAAAAGACATGTGAAGCACAAACTGTACAACTAAACTAAAAGACTAACTTCCCTAACTTTAGACTATTTTTAAAAGAAAATAGTCTAAACTATCAATCAGACGACAGAAGGCATGGAGTAGATTGTGTGCAACAGGCTTATTATCAAAGTTGTAATCATGTTGATACATTAGAGTAGGTTTTACTATGCAAACCTCATCACCATGTTGCAAGGATTTTGTGTGCACTTTCTGTTGCATTCTGGGTCATTTATTATAGTCTTTTGTTTAAAGAGTTTCCTTCAGTGTGCATCTGTGGGATTTTTGTCACCTGTTTTCTGGTCCAGCAGGTGAAAATGGTCTGATCACCCAGTAATTGCACACTTCTCAACAACAGCACACATGATTTGAGTAATCATTCACGTCTGGAGCACAAACTCTTCAGGATGACACACACAGTCAAGCTTAATTAGAGTTTAGGTTTGTTCAAATCACTAACCTTCAGTCTAATTTACAGTAATAGCGATGCTTGACTTTGCAAGCACTGCTAATTATAACCGCTCAATCACGGCTAAACGCACACACACGATCATTGTCTGAAACGCAGCAGTATACTTTCCTGCAGCTCATACTGTGACCTTTGAACTCTCAGCAGTTGGGCAGGAAATAGAGCTTTGGTGAGTTATTGGTCATTGTTTGGGCAAAATTCCCTCACAATCGCACAAGAAGCGCATCTATCTTGACAAAGACAGGGAGGGTTTGACACACTGGAAGGAAGTACTAGTGTTTTTGTAGTGTATGAACTCAGTTTTTCTTCTCTAAAGTGTTGAAGTCTGAACTGAAACCTTTAGGAGGTTATGCTCTACTGATAATTCATCACAATAATGTGTTTATCACCTAGTTAGTTGTTAATTTAAGCAAACTTAAAGTCCTAACCTGAAGTAATAAATCATTTGTTGTTGGCAACAATGTAGTGCTTGTGTGTTTTGGCACAGACCTTCCTTTCAACTGGATGAATTTAAAAGGTGCATTATATGACTTTATATGTGTCGTATTCTCTTAAAATGTCTTAGGAATTTGGTAAGAAGTTATTGAATGTGCAGACTTTCACTTTAACACACTCTCTCTCTCACAGGGGTCAGAAACAGTGCTGAATTGCATAATGGCAGGATTCGGTGTCTCCTTATGTGCTACAGTAGGATTGCCATCTGCTGGCTCGTGGGATTTCTAAAGATACTGATAACTAAAGCTCTGTCTCTTTGTGTCGCTCAGGCTCGTCTGGCTCTTCAGAGAGGCGCTCAGGCTGTCATCTTTGACATCACAGATGATCCCGGTGCTGCTCAGGAGGTCAGTATGTGTGTGTCCCTTGTAATAATAGACCTTGGTAGCCATAGTTTCTGCCAGCTTAAAATCATAGTAAATTAACATGGGTTCTCCTTCAATCAATGTATTTTATATACCGGTATATACTTCTTTTTTTTTTTTTACTTTTCTTTCTATTATTTATTTAATGTTATTCTATTATATTCTGTTATTTTTTTTGGAAGACAGTAGCCAACAATCACTATAATAATTTAGAATTTTATAAATTAATATGAATCTCTTCCAATAATTTTTTATTGGTTTTTTTTATTCTATTTTATTTATTATTATTATTTATTGTATTTATTTGTGTTTTTATATTATTGTTTTTTTTTTTTTTAAGACACTTGCGGATAAAATCAACTTATCACATCACTAAATCTAAAAATAAAACAGGATCTCCTTCAATCAGTTTTTTAAAAATCATTTTTATTCTATTTTTATTTATTTATTTATTTATTTATTGATTGATTGAAGACTTGGAAGACTCGATGGGTAAGTTTTAACAATCACTCCAAATCAAAACATGGGATGTCCTTCAGTCCATTTATTTTTATTGTTTTTATTATTTTTTATTATTTATTGTATTTTGCATTTTTTATTTTTTTTTATTAATACAAATATTATTTTAAAATAATTTTATTTTATATTTATATTATCATATTTTAATTTTATTTTTGTAAGACAATTGCAGATAAAAGCAACTTATTGCAGTTTTAAAAATCACTCTAGTAACTAAAGTGTTTTGGCAGATTGTTACCATTGTGAATTTGAAGACATTTTGTTTCTAGGCCATGTAGATCAAAATATATTTCTTTCCATACATCCCATTTCGTATTTAGACACTTTGTCCTAAAGTTCTTTTGTTGTTGTTGCTTGTCTTTTATACACAGCTGCGTGATTCAGGTTTGTTGCCTCGTCCAGTGGTGCTGGTGAAGTCATCAGATGCAGAAGAACTGATGGGACTCGTCAATAAAAACGAAGAAGCCATGGTGTTCATAGACATCATGATGGAGACTCAAAAATGGGTGAGTAATCGTATCCACGTTTAATTGATGTCTTTTAATTTCTAGGCTTTACTGTTTCAGCCTTCCTGCTGAAAACAACCGTTTAAACCAGCATGATTTTACATGGCTGGTAGTGTTGGGTCAGCTGACTGACCAGTATGTTTAGACCTAGTGTAAGTGTTGGGGTTGGAGCTAGAAAATAGTTGGTTAGTTTTTATTTATTTATTGCCAAACAACATAATTGTCTGGAATGTCTTGGTATGCTTCGTACATACATACATAAATTATTCCAACCATTACAAAGAATGAAATACAGATGCATAAGTGCCAGAAGAGTTTAAAACATGGACCATCCTGCGATAGGTACTGTTCAAAAAGCGTGCAGACTTAGTTTTAATTGCTCTAAGTCGTCTGCCTGAGGGTAAAGGAATAAAAACAATGTCTGGCCGGATGTGTGGAATCTCTAAGAATTGTTAAGCCTTTTTTCATCAATGGAGGGCAGGGTTAGCACTGTTGGTTTAACAGGAACAATGTTGATCCAGTATTATCACAGTTATAGCTGTCTTATGTGCCTGAAAATATTACCTAGTAGGGCTGGTCAACCAGTATGGTCCCTCTGGAGATGCTGGTTGGCCAAGATATTCTTCTTGGTTAAGCTAGTTAATAGATGACAACATCTAAAAGTCAACATACAACATACATACATTAAAAAACTGTAACTGGGGCAGTATCCTGTTGAAGGTATACCTTTGTACCTTATTTACCCCTAAAGAGTGCATATTAATATATTAAAAGACCATTAGTTTCCAAAGTGTACATACTATTACCTTTAGAAATGGTGCTGCCTCAGTGACAGCTTTTGTAACCAACCATCCTGGTCTTTTCAGAGGGGATAGTTTCATTTGTGTCAAAGATTTGCTTTAACTTAAAGTGTTTTGTGGATAGCACCTTCTGGCTGTTTATTGGGTTAAAATCCATTAGTTGGTGGTTTGAGTTAAGCTTCACTCTTCGTATGTTGTGTACACAGCCTCACTATGATGTTGGCATCCTGTTGACTGTGGCTCTGGTTGTGTTGGCCATCATCGTGATCTTTGCTCTACGCTTCCGCTGCAGGTCCAACAGAACCTGGGTAAGAAAACACAACACACATTATACCAGGAGTGGTCCTGAAGAGCCACAGTCCTGCAGAGTTTTGCTCCAGCCTTCATAAAAATTCACCTGCCTGTAGCTTTCTAGTAACCCTTGGACCTTGATCGGCTCGTTCAGGCGTGTTTGATTAGAGTTGGTTTGAAACTCTGCAGGACTGTGGCTCTCCAGGACTGAAGTTGGTCACCCTTGCATTATATACCAATGCAGTCTACATTTACTTTTAGTCTTGATTGTAACTTTTCCATTGCATCTTTGTACTCCTCTCCTGTTCTGCATGATCATAACTTATTGTTTTGACTTAAATTCACTCTAGAAATCTCATAATCATTTTTTCTCAACTCCCAGGACTCTGTGCACCAGCAGACCATGCGTGCCATCAGCAGGTTGGAAACGCACACATACAGCTCTCAGGGTTGCTCTGGCTCCCAGCGTTCTCGTGGGGCTCCAGGGTCAAACAGCAGCTCCAATTCCAGCCCAATCTGTGCCATCTGTCTTGAGGAATTCATGGATGGCCAGGTAGGAGACGAAAAGAACAAAAAACATTATATGACTTTGAAGAGGGGCGAGAGAAACTATCAAACCCAGACAGGAAAAGGACCACTTTTGTATTGAGGCACACCAATGGTACATTTAATATTACATTTTCTTTGTCTCTCTGGCAGGAATTGAGAATCATCTCCTGTGCTCATGAGTTCCATAAGGAGTGTGTCGACCCCTGGCTCCTACAACACCGTACCTGCCCACTGTGCATGCACAACATCATGGGTAAACAGCCTCAGGGTACATATATATTTCTCCAATAACTTTATTATAGAGCCTCCGAGGCAGCACTGTATTGAAATTCCTCTTCTTTCTTTATCATATGCTTCCTAAATATGAACACATCCAGTTTAATGAGATGCCCAAACCTGTGTGACTTTCTTCTGTGGAACACAAAACATAAAAGGATCCAGTGTTGTTTGGACCCCAATGTTTTTCAAAATGTCTTTCAATGTTCTAAGGAAGAAGGTTATATAGGATTGGTAAGACCTGAAGCAGGATTTCATTTGTTTAGATCCAAAGCCTGAACGTACCCTGAACTCTAGTTCTTGGTTTTCAAGAAGAGTTGTTTTCAAGAACCAAATGTTTTCAAACTAAATTCACCATCTATCCTCCATTAGGTTCAGATCTGGCATCCCGTCAGCCCCAAAGAAGTCGAATGCCACCCCCTCCACCTGAGCACAGTCAAGCCTTCCTCCTTCCCCATCACTATTCGAACCAACACCCTTATCCCCAGCACCATGTTCCCTTTTCCCTGCAGCATCATTACCCCCGTAACCTCTCTGGACCTTTACCCCAATTGGGCCACTATGGCAACTCTCCCCCTCTTAATCCACGGACTCTCCGTTGCTTTCCCAGTAGACCATTGGGTGCTAGCTGTGCGTACCACTTGGCTCCGGATGCCCATCATGGACGTACGCACAGGACAGGCGGGCACGGGTGTCGGACCGGGGGGCATCACTATGCAGCCCCCAGAAGGTCGTGTCACCGGTGTCCCGGAGGACCTTTGCGGATGCATCATGTGGTATCGTCCGCAAACCATGCAACTCATCATCACCTGCCACGTGGAGGAGGCTCGCAGAGTCGCCAAGATGACGGCAGCTGCTCGGGAGGGAGTTACCATACGGAGCGTAGCGGTTACCTTGCAGACGGACCGGCCAGTGATTCCAGCTCGGGATCGTGCCACGGCTCGTCCAGCGACTCTGTATTGAACTGTACGGACATCAGCCTGCAGGGTGTCTATGGCAGCTGGTCCACTTTTCGTAGCTCGCTCAGCAGCGATTACGACCCGTTTGTCTACTGCGGACCGGGCAAAGCTCCACGCAGAGGGAGCATGGAGGCCACGCAAAGGCCTCGTTCCCTGGACTCGGTAGTGAACCGAACCGGGGGTGGAAGCGGCGGTGATGCCGGTGCCATTTGCCCGGAAGAACAGCAGCAACAGGTGGCTGTGTTCAGTCACGTTCACTATCACAGGCATAGACACCACTATTACGAGGATGGGGAACTCAGTCAAGGGCCCGGCCGAGGCTCTGACGAGGATCAAGGGGCCACGTCCTCAGCCGCGTCAGCAACCGGGCCTTGTCTTGTAACTAAAGACAAAGACTCCTCCGGGTGTCAGGTACAGCACCAGTCTTGCCACTGCCCCAAAACAGACCTCAGTTCAAGGAGGGTTGAGGATAGAGACCCAGACCCTGTTTCCTCCTCAGGTGCCTCAGTGATCGTTCCCTCTCCTCCTTTAACCTCTCCGTCCCCACCCTGTTGCCACAAAGGCCCAGGGTGGACGACCGGTCGGAAAGCAGCTGGCTGTCCATTGGAAGTGCCTTCGCCGATTGTTCACTTCCATCAAAGCTTGGACCTTCAGGATGATTGTAGCATTCATATCCACTACGGACAGGGAGCGGGAAGCTACTGCTGCACACCTCCGCCAGACATGGCCCCCACGCTACTGCCAGTGCCCCTGATCTTGGACTCGACGGGTATGACCGACTGGCCGTGCTGTAGTGGGGCACATGTGGTGTGGCAGAAGCAGGTGCAGCAGGCCCATTCAGAGCCTCAGCTCCTGGGACCCACTTCTGGAATGGACAGACCCCTGTGTAGGGCCCATCATGGCCCAGGGGACGAACTTCCCATGGACATCTGTCTGTACTGCCAAACTCTACACAATAGTCAGGGTGAGTATGTCTGACTGTAGTGCTCCACTATAGAGTACTGCTGGAATGAGTCCTAAGGCTGATGATACACAGGGCAACTTTTTGAGCAATGTTGCCATCAACGGGCAAACAGGTGAGACACAGGGCCCACAACCGATCTAAAGTATCTAGATCGAAATTTGTTACCCATTCTCAGTGGGAAAGTGCCCAAGCAACATTGCTCAAAAAGTTGCCTGGCAAAATTGCTCAAAAAGTTGCCTGGCAAAATTGCTCAAAAAGTTGCCCCATGTATCATGAGTTGCATTTTTGAACTTATGGTTCCATCGTGTGGCAGTCAGTTGTTTTTTGGTGAAATGCCTGTAATAAGGTCTGTGATTACCACAGGCTCAAGATATTTTCACATTGTATTCTACCACATAATATACACCATTTTTACCTCTCATGTTTTTTAAGCTTTTACGCATCTTGTCAAACAGGTAAACTTATCTACTCAATAGTCTACTTTTAGAGCCTTGTTGTGTTTATAGTCACATTCCCACAAACTACTCCAACTCAAACTTTCCAACTTGTAGATTTTTAAGATTGAAAGAGGTGTCAGAAACTTAGTTATGGTGAAGTTGAAGTCATGCAACCTTGGTGTAATTCATGTATATCCTAAATTTTAGCTTTTTTAAAAAAAATACGTAAGAATCATAAACTTTTGTTTGTCACAAAGCTTATTTTTTGCAGTAGCCCAAAAGCCAACTGAAAAACCCTATTGTCTTTTCGTTGAGGGAACTAGGGTGATGGGGTTGGTGTATAAAATTCTCTATTGCTGGTTATAACCTGAATGTACAAAGCTGATTCCTTCAATTTAATGAGTTTTACATGGAAACGGGTTTTTTTTTCTTCACAGGGTCAGAGGAAGAGTCTGGTGTTTGAGAAAACTCTTCATCCAAAACTCCTCTCGCTGCTACACAAGAGCCGAAATGGACAAAACTCTTCGGCGATCTCTCGCTGTCTCTTTCGCTCACATGTTGAGTCTTCCGGATAATTCCAAACATCTTCTGCAATATCAAACTGAATTACTCAGAATCTCCAGACCTCAGATTTCATTCTCACAAAGAATTCAGCAGTCACTGATGATTAGATGGGTTTTCCAAAATACTCTTCAGTAGTGACGCTCTGTTACTAGCACCTTTCTAATGTCCAGAACAAGTCATTCTTGGTACTTTACCCAATACGGTCCAAATGCGACTTTTCATAGACAAACAAGTGGTATTAATTCAGGCAGTTATCAAAGGATCTGGAAGATGCGCATGAGATTGAGTATGGTTTCTTCCTTTCCTTTGGTTTAAAACAGGATTCGATTAGTATCTTCTCTTGTAAACAAGTCTGAGAACTCCTTGGTGATCTTCATGAAAGATATAAACATGTATTTCCGTATTCCATTGAGATTTAGACTTAGCGTATGTACTTTATGCAAGTACGTAGACGCTTCTATCTACACAAGCTTGGTTGTCGTGTTCTGAAATGTGTCAGAACTGATTCATAATGCTTGTCTTGTTCTACAGTCATTTATCTCTTTCAGGTTAACTACTATCATGGCGGAATTCTGTTTACAACAGCTACCTGATTAATAACATAATATGAAGGTATCATTATACCTTGAAGACTGAGATACGAAGCATGTACAACGAAACCAAGAGCTTGCAATGCATCGGCTGTGCACTTACTTCTGTGTTTGCGTACTTGCATAAAGTATGTTTCATTAGTTCACTGAGCCTACTGGCTAATTTTTAACTATCTAGTCATTGCGGTGCTACCCGCCTCTTCCATTTAATTTCTAGCTTTTTAACTATGTGTTGGGCTACGTTCAAGCATCTGGCCTGGGTTTCCAGCACTACCTCAGATAACCAATCAGAAAGTCCTGTTAGCTAGACGGTACTTCAAAGGTACTTGTGCGTTGGCCTCTCGTTACCTCTGCAAGATATTAACTCAGAGGAGCGATAGGGAGCTTTACTTTATATCATCTGTCCTTGGAAAGGAGCATTTCATTGAGGTTTCAGGTTTTGTTAATTCAGAAATGGCAGCTGTTATTTACAAATGTTTGTGTCTTCATTTATTAATTTTGCTCATCAAAACTGAATTAATTGACTGAATATATTTAGGGAAAGTTGTGAAGATTTTTTTGTTTTGTTTTGTTTCATTATTTTTGTCTGTTAAGCCTATAATGTGTTCGGGCTGAGAAGGACTACATTTCCCAGAATGCTTTGCTTTCACCTCTGTGACTCTCATGTTCCCTTAAAGGGATGCGACATTTCATAGAAACCAACCAGCATACAAGCTTACCAAAAGTGCCTCTGTAACCCATGAAATGAACACTTCATGAAGTTTATACATACATTTATGTAGCCTGCTGTCATGTTCCTGGCAATACCAGCTGACACACAAAACTTGAGTTGACTCGATGCGTATTGCCTGCAAGCATAGTTATACTGTTACCCAGAAATCTCCGTTGTCGTTTATTGTAAAATCCAACCTTTAAAGGAATGGTCTGGGTTCAAAACAAGCTAAAACAAGTGACATGCTGGAAGTAAACCCTTCCTTCAGTTTGTAAAAATATCTGATGCAGTTCTGAACCTGTACCATTCCTTTAAGTAAAGAAAAGGAAACACTGGAAATCTTGCCATGGCAAACACCTGAATGTTTTTTTTTTGTTTTTATTTTTTGTCAGTAAATGGTCAAACTGGTCAAAGGTCTTTATCCTTTGAACCACAAACATCTCCCGTGAGTCTTTTTGGCTTCATACCGTCACATGCTGATTTTCATCTAAATGAGGCTGAATCCCAAATGAAAATATATGCAAGACAAAATATAGTAAATCCCAGTGTAGGGTTTCCTCATACAGGGTTCCCACACCTTAAGACCAATGACTTTTCCAGTTGTTTTTGATTATCGTAAAGATTTTTAAAGTCATTTTATAAAGATTACACTCAGAAAGAGAAACTTTCAGTCTATTAAAGATTTTAAAGCCGTGCATAATAGCAAGAAATTATGTCTGTATTGTTCATACGCTCTCTTTTCCACAGAAAATCAATGAAAACTGCCTTTTTTAATAGAACTAAATCCCTTCAGAAATCAAGGGATATGCCAGTATATGTTCAATATTTTGTGTAAAAAAAGAAAGAAAGACAAAACAGTTATAAGATAAAGTGTTGTATTTTATATATAATAGAACATTTAAATATGGTAATGTCACTAATATATTTATTTACTAATATATTTATCCATTTTTGTCCAGGTCTGAGAAAATTTTTTAAAATGTTATTTTCTCACTTTTGGAATGATATTCTTTATGAAACGTACAGCTGCCATCATAGATGTATAAACCTGGCATCATTCCGATTATATACAAATAAATTATTTTGAAATAAAAATACAGAGAATGTGGTATTCATTTGTTTTTATTTAATATATAATTGTACACACACACACACACACACACGGGAAGTAATGATGAAAATTAAGGTCCCTGTTTTTATTTATTTATTTCATGTTTTAGTTATTTATTTTATTATTTTGGAAGTTTGCATTATGTATGGGTAGTTAATAGTAACTATTTTGTCTGATAGAAGGGACTCAAGCCATATCCAATAAATAAATAAATAAATACTTGAGTTAACTTTAAAAAAAAATAAAGAAAGTAGCCACCTACAAAACATTTTTTACTTTTACCAACTTCAAAAGTTATTAATTTTGGTTGTTCACCCAAACCCGATCAAACTTCCTCAGCAAGTATATTAAATGTTTATTGAAATTTAAATTAGTGGTTGAATAAACTACTATTCTAACTTTAACAAGAGACCAACATATTAAGACCAGCTCAGCACAGGCAAGAACCACTTAAATTTTCTGCAGAAAAATATTTTAGGATTTTTTCAGTCCCATTTGACTCTGAAAGTGGATGTAGCAGATGAACAAATAAGAAAATGATACAGATACATTATACAGTTCTTATATTAAATGTCTTTATTGTCGTCCTGGACATTTTAATTGATGGCGTCATATTATTTCACTCCAGCATGAGGCTTGAGTAAATCACCTTAATGCAGTTGTGTGTGTTAGTAAGAGGCCTTCGGGACGCCCTGGCTCTCCGGTGTGAGAACCGTGAGGTTTCCTCTGGCATCCTGGTCTTTCTCGATGGCCTCGAACAGAGATTTTAAGTTTCCAGCTCCAAAACCCTAGTGGATAAGAAGACATGGCAGAGTGACAGGTTTAACTGGGTTCTTATGATGAAAAAACCGAGAATTAGCCCCAGATAAAACATGTAAACATCTGAGGTGTAGAATATACTTCACTGAGAAATTGCTAGTAAATTTCACGAATAATTACAAAGACACGGCAAGTAATATTGAAGTAAATGTCAAACTTTGAAGTAGAAAATCCGAAGTATTTTCCTGAAATACATACTCCAATAATCAACTTTGAAATATCATTTTTTACACATTTACCTCACATTTTGTTACATATCTTCAACTTTGCTTTTCAAACCAGGAGAATTAAATGGCACAGAAAAAGTAAAAAGTAACTAAGTTCCCCTCAACATAATGAGTACTAATGTTGTTTTCAGCGATGTGCAACCTGTATATATCTGCTAACATCTCAAAAAATGGGTTTTAGAGCTTCATTGTCCTTTAACAACAAACCAGTCTTTGGATTTGATCTGTTAGTGTCATTGGGTTCGATTTCTTGCTCTGTTTTACAGTTTAAACACCACAGAGGAAAGTAAAGCCCCCTTTAGTGCGATTCAAATATAAATGTCTTGTCTTTAGGCATTTTCTTCACTTCACAAGCTTTAAAAAGTCCCTAATAAAACTATGAGCCTGTTCAAACATGTTTTCTCAGAGCTCAGATTCAAACTCAGTACTGTAGTTACTGTACCTCCATAAAGACTATATATTTGATCTCATATATTTCATCTGTACACTGTAAAAAAAATTCCGTAAAATTTACGGTAAAAAACTGGCAGCTGTGGTTGCCGGAATTTTACCGTAAAAAATGCGGTAGCAACGTTTTAGGTTTTACGGTTTTAACTTAAATTTACAGTTAAATACCGTAATTTCATTAACTGATATAATGTTAATATACCAACCTATTGAAGTACTGAAATCTGTTTTGTACCTTTGTAATACACTGATAACCACCAAATGCAGGTGGTGATGAGAAAGTCACACGATGAATCAAAGCCTATCACAAGCAGCTTTTAAATAATAACATATATAGAAGGTGCACAGTGTCATTCACACAAACACCAAACACCATCATGGTAACACACATGAAACTGAAATAATACAATAAACATTCATTTAACAACATTAGGTGTAACACACAACCCAAATATACAAAACTGATAAGAAAAAACTAAGAAGAAACATAGTTATTTCAACAAAAAAACATAAAATTTGAAATGTAACGCAGGGAATTCTGGGAATGTCAATTTACGGTTAATCACTGTAAATTATACGGTCTTTTTCACTTCCAAAAACGGTATACTACCGTAAAATTAATGTCCAATACATATAATGTCCAATACAGTTTTTCACCGTATATAGTAGGGGAATTTACCGTTAACCATTTAACAGGTTTTTACTGTAGCATTTTTACAGTCTTTTACCGTTAAATTCATGGTCATTTTTTACAGTGTATGACATTATTTTATGCCTAATCCTGATATCAAGGTTACTATATTCATATATATATATAAAATAAACAGAGTACACATACATATATTATGTAAACAAAAACTTTTATTTTGGATGCGATTAATCATTTGACAGCATATATGCTCTGATCTATATGCACATAAATATGAGCAATATCACAGGAGTAGCTGTGCAATATGGCCATATATCAATATATATCATATATCGTGCCAATATACAGCAATATCTCACGGCTACGAGTGTGATATTGCGTTTATACAACAATTCGATGGCAGGAGTGTGTAAATGCATAAGAAACAACAAAGTGTGTGTTTAATTCAGACTTTTTTCTCGCAATTGTGACTTTTTTTCTCACAATTCTGGCTTTTTTCCCCCTTGCAGTTCTGACTTCTTTCCTCAGAATTGTGAGATATAAACTCACAACTGTGTTTTATGAAGTCCAATTCTGAGGCGGAAAAAGACAGACCATTTTCTTACAGTCGCAATTCTGAGAAAAAGTCAAATGACCTTTTTTTTAATTCAGTGGCGAAAACGGGCTTCCATATTAAGCCTGGATGAATGAGGTCAAACACAGACTCACAGAGTGGTTGTCCCTCTGGATGACCTCCAGGAAGAGCGTCGGTCTGTCCTGCACGGGTTTGGTGAAGATCTGTAGCAGGTAACCTTTATCATCATAGTCTACTAAGATTTTTAACTCCTGCATTGGATAAAAGAACGAATGCATTCAAAAAATGCATTAGAAAAACCATTCAAATGTGTCCATTTCTTGAACAGAATGGACTGTCATATTGCTTTCTCTGACCTGCAGTGTTTTTAGGTCCTCCTTCACCTTGATCTTGGCCGTCTTGAGATTCTGCCGTAGGGTGTCGTAGTAATTATCGGGTGTGGACAGGAACTCCATCCCTCGAGCTCGGAGGTTCACAATCTGATTCATCAGGAAAGAGTTTCAGGTTTTGTATTTGACTTTATTGTAGTCTCGTAGGAATGAATCATATTGAGAGGAGTTGTGAACCGTACAGCTTGGATGATGTTGGGGGTGTTTAGTGTGATGTGCTGCACTCCGGGTCCTCCGTTGTAGTCGATATACTCCTTTACAAACAACAAGAGGAAATTATGGCGGTAAGATAGATGTTTATTATAGATTTCAAATGTTTTAGCCAAAGGTGAAGTGTATCACAATTGTGGTAATTATTGCGACGGCTTCGCGTCGTGCCTAACAACACCCCTACCAATCAGAATCAAGGACCGGAACTCTCCGTTTTATCATTTGACTTGACAAAGCCAACAGTGATCTACTATTTAAGCTGCATGCTTCCTCTTCTGAGACTAAATTTAGTCAGTGTCTCCTCCTAGAGTTTTCAAGCTACAGCCACCAAACTTGGGGCAGACCTTAAGATTGGTCTGACTCGGGTTGCTCTATCTTTCCTAACTGATCGGAGTTACGGTTTTCGTTAAACGGACAATCGAATCTACAAAAAGTCCCATAGACTTTCATTAAGGGGGTCAAAACTTTTGAACAAATATCACATATAAAGTATTTAAGCTGTCTATCACTAGCAAAGCTTAACGACTATTCTAGGACTACATGCTAAATCATGTTAGCAACATGCTAATTCATGCTAGTAATGTGCTAATCATGCTAGCAACCTAATAAAACAGGCTAGCAATGTGCTAAATCATGTTAAAACGTTAACAATGTGCTAAATCATGTTAAAACGTTACCAATGTGCTAAATCATGCTAGCAGCATATTAATTCATGCTAAAACATGTTAGCAACTTGCTTAAATGTTTTAGCAATGCGTTGCAACGTTAATAACATTTTATTGACTGAGTAAAATCTTCAAACTTGCTCTTCAAGCTTTTCAAAGTTATTTTAAACTTTCAAACAAGAATTTGTCAAGCCGTGTGTTTACAAACTTTACTCATCTATTAATTATTATGCCGCTTATCTAGTGTGGAATTAAAAACATCATAAAATTTAGAAACAACTGGTGTTGGATGTTACACTGTTTACAATGATATTTCCCCAAAATACTGTCTCCATATTTTACCATCCAAAAATGACACAGATAGGGGTTTTACAAACACATGGGGTCGTGAGTTGATGAAAAGCTAATAATTATTTTAATTGGGATGTAAAATCTAATTTTAATGTTGCTTGGTTCACTTTATTTACGTTACACATTATTTACACATTCATATAATTTCCAACATTTCTATGGACGGAAGTTTACAGCATTTCACCAGTATTCAGCCAAAATATCTGAAATGTTAAACGCTTGAGGGTTTGAACATTGGAAATGAAGAATCTAAGACATAAATATCAGTCGTGTGTAGTAAAAAATAACATTTGTTTTAT